CTTAGTGCTGCTGGCATTTCTTCTCTTGGATAAGTAAATGTCAGGGTACACTCATCTGCATATGCATGGGATTCTGGGATGAGATGAAGAAGGTCATTGAAGTAGACAGTCCATAACAATGGTCCCAGCACACTTCCTTGTGGATCACTTGCCCCAATAGGATGTCTTGCTGATTCTGTTTCATTGAGGACTACCTTTGGGGATCTACCATGAAGGTAATCACTGAGGAGATGTAGTGTAGAGCTTGCAATTCCCAGTGCTTGTAGTTTTGCTAAGAGGCCCTGGTGCCACACCCGGTCGAAAGCACCACCAATATCCAGTGCTACCACACAGCTGACTTTGGATTCATCCAGTGACTGGTGCCATTTAGTGGAGAGGTTTAACAACAGATCAGCAGCAGAGTAACCTTTTCTGAAGCCATACTGATGGTCACAAAGTAGTGAGTGGTAGTCAAAGAACTGTCATTTGTCTTGAGATTATTGTGTCAAGGATCTTGCCAGTGATTGACAGGAGTGACACTGGTCTGTAGTTGCTAATTTCTGCTCTGCTCTTCTTTTTGTGAACAGGGACTACATTTGCCTTCTTCCACAGAGAAGGCCATTTACACTGTACTAGGCAGTGCTGAAAGATGTGAGTTAGAGGTGCTGCTAGCTGGTCTGCACATCTTCTCAGCAATCTTGGGCTCAACTTGTCTGGGCCCACAGCCTTTCCTTGGTCAAGCGATTTAAGACGGAAATGCACCTCCTCCTGCCTTATGTCACCACTGACAGTTTTAACAGTTCTTGCTGCTAGCCAAGGAGGGTCCCTTGCTGGATCAGGAACTTGCATTTTGGTAGCAAAGTGTTCAGCAAAGAGGTCTGCTTTCTCTTAACTACTAGTAGAGGTGGTCCCATCCTCTTGATTTAGAGGTGGAATGAGTTCATCAGGCAGATAACCTTGTCTGTCCTTGACCAGGGACCACCAGGTTTTGGAGCCTACTCTACCTGATGCTAGCTTTCTTTTTGTGTCCACCTCCCATTTAGCAATGGCCCACTTTTGAACGTCACCCATATATCTAGAGGCTTGCCTGTGCAAGTCCCTGTTATAGGTGGTAGGATGTCTCTTATACCTTCGCCATGCCTTGTATGTACTTAGCAGTAGCAGCCTCTCTACAACGAAAGTCAAACCAAGGCTGATTTGTAGGCTTCGTCACACACTGCCGGTGAGGGATGTGTTCTTGTTGTAGATTAAGGATGTGTCCAGTGAAGGCTTTCACTTGGTTGTCAACATCCCCTTGGAGAAAAGCAAAGGGCTGGCTAATTACCTCTTTCCCATAGCCAGGTTGTGCGTGTGGACTCCTCACCTCATTCTGTTGGGATCTTAAGTGTCCTAAAAACAGTTTTGTGGTCAGACGATCGAACATAGCTGAGGGGTTGACAAGTGACTATACCTTCTGCCAGATCACTCACTACTGGGTCAAGGAAGGAGCCAAAGATGTGAGTAGGGAAATCAACAAAGTTTCTCATGTCAAATGCTGCAAGAAAGTCATCAAAGTCCCTCTGTATAAGATGTTGATTGAGGTCACCAAGAATTATGATATGCTGACAGTTGTGTTGGAGCAGCAGGGAGTCCACATTTTCCATTAGGAGGTTGATGGGGTCTGCATGTTGCCACTGAGGTCTGTACATTGCACATGCTAGTACAGAGGTACTAGTGTTTATGCAGAGCTTGAAGAACATCATTTCAAGCTGAGTAGGAATGGCATCCCCCCCCCTCTCTCTCTCTCTCTCTCAGGGTTTGACAAGGTTAAGGATCCCTAGCTTCTATTTACAGGTTAAGGATTCCTAACTTTATTGGCAAGCTATGAGCTGTTACCTACATCAGCTCATTTGAAAGCATTTTTATTGTTATGAGACATACAATTAGGAGACAGGATGAAGTTGGAGCCATCTGTGGGCCAGCATTTTCATTTGATCAACTGACTTTATCTTGTTGACATCATTATGCTGTACAAATGTGTTCCATACTCGAGTCATCCTGGGTATATATGATCTCAGATGGAGTGATGTTCTGGAGAAGGGTACAGCCATAGTGAAGTTGCTGCTTTCTGCCCGTCTTGTGGCATAAAAGCTTGTTTCATGCTGTCCTCGAAGTGGATCCAATTGTGGCACTTTGACAATATTGGCCTTGTACATAACAGTTAGATCACCCACATCCCTCCTATGTTGAAGGCTCTGCTGAAATGACAGATCTATCCAGGATGGGTCCAGACGAGAGATGAGACGTCTTGCTCTGTTCTCTACTCTGTCAAGCAGTCGCAGATGAGAGGGGGGCAGGCAAACCAAGAAAGTGGAGCATACTCAAGGTGTGAGCGTACTTGTGCCTCGTACAGAATCTTCCAACCCCTACTGTCAAGCAGATGTGAGATACGTCGAAGTGCTGTAAGCTTCCTGGCTGCCTTGTTTGCAAGATTTACAACATGGTTCTTCATGGTTAGTTTGGAGTCAAATTTCACCCCAAGGATATCAACTTCTTCTCCAGGTGCCAACACCCTCCCATTCATCTTTACTACTGCACCATCATTACCATCATGGTGTCTAGAGACGATCATCATTTGCATTTTCTC